TTTTTACTCTCTCGGAGTACCTATTGCCTTTTGCTCACCTAAAGTTTGGATCTGACTTTGTTTTTCAACAAGACAATGCTCCGATTCATACCTCGGCGGAGACAAAGCAGTGTTGTGCCGACCAGTCCATTGACATGCTGCCTTGGCCTGCGCGTTCGCCGGACCTCAACCCAATTGAGAACCTTTGGTCCACCATGTCGCGCGTTGTTTACAACAATGGTCGTCAGTACCAGAGCGTGGCCGAGTTGCGTGCTGCAGTGTTGCTTGCGTGGGACATGATTTCCGATAAGGAAGTCAAAAACCTCATCGACTCCATGCATCGCTGATGCTTGGAAACTATTTGACGCAATGGCGAGAAGACTCATTATTGATTGAGCAATATATTGAATTTTGTATTGCAATTTGTGTTCCTTCATTTTGTCCGAGTTCAAAATGCAAATATTGAATGGAAAGTTCTCGACACTGGCGAGTTGCGCGCCGGTAGGTTTTCTGCATTGCTATTGGCTCATCACACTCAAACAGCCGCCCTCAATTCTCAATACTTCATGAGATATGAAATGAATCCCTAGGTTTTGTCCATGAGTGTAGAACGTGCTCTTACCCCCCTCTCACTGTTATAAAGCCCCTTCCCAACAATTACTAGTACTTTACATGCAACACTGTATTACTTGTGGCTGCTGTTGTTTTACATGGTGTAAATTATGTGTAATATTTGACAGACCCCGGTGTTGTGGTTGGTGACTTCATCCAAATCCCATCATGGCACAGATGGTCCTCAAACCAACACGATACGAAAAGGTAGTATGACTAGTAGTGACTACTTGTTCTGTTTTCTACTACTACGTGGTATTAATACGTAGTACTAGTATTTACAGTAATAGGAAACAGAACAAGTCATGATGTAAAACGAATAATAAATTATGTAGCCAATAAGCGAAAAGAAATTTCAGAGTGACCAATCGGAGCAAATCAGGATCGATTTGGGTGTGGGTGGGTGGAGTGATTTGATGTTGGCTGCTGTCTGCCGACGAGGGCAGCGGCAGTCGGTCCTGCGCACGACGTCGTGGCTCCAGGCATCCAGTCGTGCCCTGTTGTCCTCCGAAGCGACAACGGCCAAGCCTATGATCAAGCCATTGTACTCGATTGAGAAGCAAAAACAGTTGCTCCAAGTAGTCCAAGCAGTGCACAAAGAATCAGGTCGACCGAAGGTCATCTCAATCAAGACGCTGTTTCGAATCCCCAGCAGCGACAAGTACCCCCTGGCACTGCAAGGCATTCGGTTTCCAGTGTCTGAACTACGAAAGGAGAAGCGTGAAGGTCGACTGGATCCTGACATTGTGGCCGCGTTGGACGCCATTGGGTTTGTGTGGAACGCGGACCAGTTCCAGTGGAGCCAAACCCAGTTGGCCTTGACCAAGTACAAGGAACTCCACGGCAACTTGCTCATTCAATCCCATTTCAACGTCCCGAAGGATGACCCGGTATGGCCAACGGAGCTCTGGTCCAAGAAACTGGGTGTTGTAGTGGCTCGAATTCGAGCGCACAAGACTACACTACCCCCAGAGAAGAAGCAGTGGTTGGACAGCACGGGATTCGTCTGGGACGCTGCTGAACTGCATTGGAAGTCGAATCTGGCGGCACTGGAAACGTTCAAGGCCATCCATGACCACCTTCTCGTGCCTTCGGAATTTGTCGTGCCAGCAGACGACCCGCAATGGCCCGTCGAGATGTGGGGACTCAAACTTGGGAAATTGATCTCCAGGTTGCGAAGTACCACCACTTCGTTGCCCCCCCACAGGCTCGATGTGCTGAATTCGCTTGGGTTTGTATGGCGAGTGAATGCCCGAGTTGTCCACCGCAGCCCACCTGCCAACTTTTCGCTCAAGGAACAGCAGCACATATTGCAAGTCGCTCGATTTCAACTCTCGCAGCAGCGCCATACAAAGTTTGTGTACTTGCCGGGTCGATTCAGAGTCCCCGATCAAGCCCCGTGGCCCCTGCACTTGCATAAGGTCAAACCACTCGACGTCTCACTGTTTCGACGAGCAAAGATACAGGGCAGTTTGGAGCCATCAATTGTACAAGCCTTGGACGCCATGCATTTTGTATGGAACGGGTTAGAGCACCAATGGAGCCTGAATATGGAAGCGCTGGGTATTTACAAAGCCCAGTATCAAGACTTGCTCATTCCAGTTGACTTTGTCGTGCCGCAAGAAGATCCTCAATGGCCAGTGTACCTGTGGGGGAAGAAGCTGGGGATGGTCGTGCATAATTTGCGAGGTCGTGAGGCCAAACTGATGCCAGAGCGACGGCAAGCGTTGTATGCGATGGGGTTTGAGTGGGATGCTAACCAAGCCCAGTGGCAATTGAACTTGGCGGCGCTCAAAACCTTCAAACAAGTATATGGACATGTGAAAATCCTTCGAGAGTTTGTCGTGCCATCTGAAGGCGGCTACTGGCCATCGCGGTTTTGGGGATTTCGTTTGGGTACCTATGTCAACTCCCTTCGGATGCGTGTCGACACATTACCCAGTGAACAGCGACATGCATTAGACGAGATGGGGTTTGTGTGGAAGCCATTGGTGGACCAGTGGAACAACCGCAATCTCTTGGCGTTGAAGACGTATAAACGTATCTATTGCCACATGAAGATTCCAATGAACTTTGTCGTGCCAGACCAAGACCCCAAGTGGCCACCGCAGCTGTGGAACATGAAGCTGGGGCAATTGGTAGCCAACATTCAGGATCGGCATCATGGGTATCCTGCCAGTCGACTCGACCAGTTGCACCAACTCGGCTTGGTACTGTAGTCGATGAATATGGGGAATCCAATGAAAATTCAGCTCACTATGATGTTGCGTTACTATAACGTTAGTGATGAATAAATGCATGAATAGTAAATACAAGTAGTTTGACGGATCTTGGTGCGTGACGATTCCAACTCGTGCAGATCCTTTGCGTCGATTGCTGTTTTGGGACCTTACGAGGCAAATCATCCCATATGATTGATTGCACTCTAGTTTTTTACATGTCGATAGAACTAATAAACTACCAGTATCACGTTACTGTAGTAGTAGTAGTACTACCGCAGCCACAGTCGCCGACGGTGCGGCTGGTGTTGGGTTTCTTTCAGGACAGACTCTCCAATCTCCATGACTCGCTTTCTTTCTCGTTCCATTTCCAACGTCAACGCCAGCGGCAACGGTGATGATCTCACCACCGCGGCGCTTTTTGGTCGAGTTTGCCCGTGCTTCGATGGGGCTGCTTCCCTCGACGATATGTCGTCAGTCGACAGCGACGACATGGTCGGACCTGATGTATTTGAACTTGAATTGGTCAAGAACGTCCACTGCTCCAAGCTCATCGTTGGAGGGGGCGCCATCTTGTTGTTTACGTCGTCCACTGGTCGTTCTTCTATGGGAAGTTGTTGCTTAGGGGGTGGGGGGTGGTACTGCCTTGGTGTAGTCATGGGCATCACTGGTGCTTGTCGAGTGAATACTCGTTGATGGAGGGCACTCCGAGGTCGTCGAGGTAACGTCTTGGGTCGCTCGACCTTTCCCCCATGAAGTTTCTGTACAACTTGCTGCACCACTCGCATGACAAATGTCGTGGCTACTGTATGGTGAACATTCGTTGCTCCTTCTTTGTCCCTGGTAACAACCCTTGGTTGAATCGTTTGGGGTACTTTAGTTGGTTGTCTATCTGCTGGCCTCGCCGTTTGCGGACGCGGGGGCTTGGCGGCCTTGGGGGGGTGGGGGGGCTTTTTTCGTAAATAGGGGTGGGGGGTACTGATGTGGACTGGCCGCCTCGAGTTGCCGTGGGCTTCCGTCGAGTCTGCCGGTACAATTCTTGCACGAGGGTGGGCCGCCGCCTATGTGTATATACAATGCACACATCATTGAGCGTTCATGTTCATATGGAATATATATTATATATATACGCTTCAAAAATAAAAGATGTCAGTGTATAAGAAATTTATAAGTTTATTATCAACTAATAAATACTAGTACATCTGAAATGTGACTAAAGGAAATCTGTTTAAGATAAATATATACAGAGTAGGTAAAACAAATACTGAATATTTAATGGCATCATAACTACGGCATACAAATCCAAAGGCGGTAGGTAGTATTGTAGATTAAAAAAGGCTACTGAATTGATTAATCGATATATTAAATATAGTGAAGTAATTAATAAAGACTACATCTTGGTACGTCCACACGATCAATTGAATTCAATCGTTTAATCGAAATGGCGCACATCGTATACGTCAGTCAGTCTGCCGTCTCATGCTAATAAAATGTGAACAATTTATAGTCCAGTTGAAGTCATTGATTTGAGATGACATAGCCATCTATAATTTACTATTCACTTCATGGTGTAGATTAACGTATCTGATTTTTTATCCTTTTTAGATTCATTTTTTATTTTTACACTACATTTAAAATTGATTATGTTTACATTACATTCAAAAGAATCAAAAATATTTCACAAATAAATAGAATTAAGAAAACTATTAAACAAAGATTATTATTAAATACGGTAGTATCGAAACGACGTCCGATATATCACAAAATGCTTGCACCAGTAGGGGGTAGTACAGTATATATATATTTGTATACAAGACCTCCACACTAGGTAAATCACAATACGGTACCGATTGCGGGCGTCGTAAACGTTGCATGAGCATGCGTTTGTGCAATGTTTGCAACGTATTGGGCGGTGGCTGTACTACTGTCAAATCATCGTGTGTCGTTGGGGGTGTCGTGGGCGGTTGCTTCTGTCGCGTCGGGCGACTAGTTATAGGTCTAGTGGTCGTACTGGTCAGAGGACCCCCCTCCCCCCCTCCTCCCCCCGCAACGTCCAGCTGGTTGGTCGACCCCCCTCCCCGACGAGAGCCAGGGGGAGTAGGGCGTTTGATCGGGTGGTGGCGCTTCGTAAGCACAGTCGTGTGGGTCCATCCGCACTGAATTTGGACAGCCCCGTACCCAGCTAACGCCGTCACCTGAACCGGCTTCAAATGAACCGACCCATCGCTCTCCATCCCAAGCCCCCCGTTGATATCGTATCCCCACGTCCATACATCTCCAAGGGCGTTGATTGCTGCCGAGTGAAAGTGCCCCAAACTGACCTATATAATATATAATATTTAATATAGGTTGATGGACGAGATAGATTAAACAACCAATATACCTCCAGGATAGGAGACGCCGTAGGAAACGTCACGAGCGTAGGAGACAGCCGAGACCGGACGTCTCCTACGCCCAGCTGCCCAAAGTCATTCGCGCCCCACGAGTACAATACGTCGCCGTCGCTGATCAACGCCGTGTGCCGCCCGCCGCATCGCACCATCTAGACAAAACATATCATTTTTGAACATTTTAAATATATATACATATATATATTTGTTGCCTACTTTGGGTAAGATTTGGAGCAATTGGACGGCCACGACGAGCGTGGGGACGCTGAATGTCACGGATGAATTGTGTCCGAGGCGTCCATCCACGCCGCATCCCCACGTAAACAAATCGCCTACGAAAATGATATATAAATTTGTCTATATTTCAAAAATATATATATTACATATACTTGAAAAAATATTATCATTGAATGACGAATAATACAGTAACACGACAAAATATACAAGCGACGGGATAGTATTAATTTATACCGTGTGTGGAAATACATGCGCTGTGGTGCACTCCGGCCGCCACTTGGTGGATGGCATGGTCCACCAGACTTTCCACTCGACTTGGCACACAACTGCGCCAGCCTAACACGATGCATATATATATATATAAATTCGTTGCCTAGTGATATAGATATATATTATTACCGTGCTCCGTTCGAGATTGGCGGTGCCCAAAGCCTAGCTGACCCGCCTTGTTGTGCCCAAACGCGAGCACGTGCTGGACGTCTGTGATGGCGAGCGTGTGAAACCCTCCGCAGGCCACAGACACGACGATCGTGCCGTCCATGAGCATCGCGTTGGCCGTGTCCGCCTTGTCAAACTGCACGGGCTTGGGGGCGTTGATGTCCAAGTAGTTGCAATGGCCCAACTGCCCAAATCGACCGCTGCCCCACGTAAACAGTTGGCCAGCGCGAGTGGCCACCTAAATAAATAAATAAATGCATGAGATTTATAGGTCCATCACGGGTTTTATAACCACATATAAGCAAGCACTGTCTGCGTAATAATAATAATTAAAAAAGAAAAAAAAAGACGACGTGTGGACTATTTTCACGACTAAATAGGTGTCACACCAAAAAAAGGCAAGTTCCAGGCCAAGTATTTTCCCTGCATAGTATGGGCGAAGAGAGGCAAGCAAATTTAGTTTCTCATTTTACAATTTTCCTGATAAATCTGCATATGAATTTCAATTTAGTTTAGTCATAATTGGCTTACAAAGCACTGGCCGCGTAATAAGAAAAAGAAAAAAGAATCAAATCAAAGACGAATACTACTATTAATAGTATTTCAGACGAATCCGCAGAAGTATTGAGCCAATCAGATTGCAGGAAACTATCATCATCATCAGTATCTAATTAGTGTAAGACCTACATTAGTGTGATTCCAATCACCACCACACGACTAATTTTTACATACAAAATTCAGTACAAAGCATCGATCGATGAATTTGGTAAATCAGCACAAAAGTCCACATCAATCGACACCGTGTATATATATATATATAAGGTGTGTCGAACACTAGTATACTCGATGCCAAGCTCTCGGGTAATCACATACCGCCACGTGGTGCTTTCCGCAGCTGAGGGATACAATAGAGGGGCGTTCCTGGGGCGTAGCAAACAAGTGCGACGGCAACAGGCATGGGGTTTTCGTGCTAAAGCTGGCGTGGTTGCCCAGTTCACCATCGGTACCTTGGCCAAACGCAAAGGCGACGCACGACTGGGAGCTCGCGACCACGGTGAAGTTTTCTCCGCACGCAAGCGAGCTAAAGTAGACGTCTCTTGGGGGATGGGAAGCGGAAGAAGAAGCAGGGGATGGGACGAGGAGGGTGCTTGGGTCGTGGCCCGATGGTGCAGGCGGCTCCTTCATCCCGGGGATCAGCAGCGGTGTCCGTCGAGCAAATGTGTTGGTCGTCACGTCCTGCAAAATCGCATCGCCCCCAAACGACCACACGAACGCCGCTTCGTTGCCGAACACGGTGACGTGGATCGGATGGACGTCCAGCTGGTCGAAGCGCTCGTCCTGGCTGAATATGCGATGTTGGATGCAAATGTCGTCATCGCGGGTCACGTCCACGGCCTGGACTCCCACAGCTACAAAGAATATCTCAGAAAGGGCAGATGAGCAAGAAAGGCCAGACAGGGAATGGGGGACAGAAAGGCCAGACCAAGGACGATGAGGATACATACCTTGAGGGAGCCCGTACGTCGTTGGGGTAAAGCAAATGCGCGAAGCGGAGAGCCGGACGGAGCGAGTCCGGTCGTTCTGGACGAGTAAATGGATCACCACGGTGGACTCGCACGGGACGGCGAGCCAAATGGTGTAGAACCCCATCGTGCCGCCGTACACTGCATGGAGATGGGTCTTGGATACGTGCACGAGGACGGGGCCAGTGTCGTTGAAGGACGTGGTGGAAGAAGCACAACATGATGCCGTGTTGCTGGTTGAAGCAGCAGGAGGAGCGGCGTAGATGGGTTGCTTGCGCTTGAGTGTGGGCGACTGCCGCGTGGGTGAGGGCGACATGGGTTGACGAAGGGACGGGTCGTCGAAGGGCTTGTTCACTGCCTGTAGGTTGGCGGACGCTTGCATCAAGCGCGAGTTCACGCGGCCCCGCGGAGGCGGTGGGTGGGCTACAGAAGGCTCCATGCGGTCCCAAGCATGACTTCAAAAGTACACAGAGCTTGCGGTTACAGTGGGGTTTCGTCGATTATTTCTACCAATCATATGGTATTCAGTTAGAATCGCTACCATTTATCACCAATCAACAATGGATAATGTTCATATGACATTTCGATTGGGTGAAATGTCATACTAAATGCGTTTTGATTGGTCAGTCATTCCACGAATCAAAATGGTTGGGATGCAATACTGGACGTGGATTGGTTGGGGTTGACGATGTTTGATTGGTGGAATGCAATTGTTGATTGCGTTTGAGCAATGGAAGCACCGCCGACGACAACGACACCCGAAAATGAGGCGGCGCCAGCAGCAGCACATGAGTTCTACCTTGTGGTGTCGAATGTGATGGGAAGGAAGAACCTCGGGACGTATCTAAGGACGGGAACGGCCTTCGGTGTCAAGCAAGTCCTCGTGGGTACGTCCATCTTGATGGCATGGGAGGTGAACTCACGGAAAGAGGACATGTAGTCGGGTCGGATCGATTTGGAACCCATGGAGGGCACAATGCACACAAGTACGTCGACGTCGTCACATTCCACACGTGCGACGACGTGCATATGTACCTAACGTCGCGTGGGTGTCGGATTCTCGGCTTGCACTCGTCCACGACGTTGAACAACACCCCTTCGTCTACATGTACCGTTTCCATACTCTTTTCTTTCGCCAAGACGAGTCCATGCTTGCTAACGCTAACTAGGTCTGGACAAGGACACAGAGTTCGCTCCATGCACTGCGTTTGTTGTCGGGAACGAAGGCGGCGATTTGTCCCTGGACCAGCGCCGCATCTGCGACGGGTTTGTGCACATCTCGCATTATTCCCCACGTCGCAGTTCTCCAACCAATGCGCCGTTCGAAGTGGATCTGACTGTGCAAGTGGGCGTGCTCCTGCATCGGTTTACGACCTGGTCGGGCCAGTACACCGAGCGAAGCATGCAGGACACGACCACACGCGGCAAGTTTGCTCTGGCCTCCCGCGCCCCCCGACAAAAGGCGGTCGATCTGTCTGTGACACGGGGCCGCCAAGCCAATAAGGAAGCCGTGGAAGCCCGCATGGACGACGACCTGGACTTGAACTGGTTTGAGTCCAACGCTGACAATCATGGAGTATATTAGGATAACTTTGAGAGTTTTCGCTGGACTTTTGTTGATGCTTGGGCCAAATTCCTGGGTCAAATATACTAATCGATGATTGGTTGAAAGTTCTCAATAGTGTAATTGGATTAGCTACGTAATACGTTATAAACAGTTCACATTGGTGGAAGATTGGTACTACATATTAATAATAGTACACCATTTTGCAGTATACTAGTACCGATCCTACTACACCATTTTGCAGTTAACGAGTTGGACGAATGCCCGATATATTTGGCCGTGTGCCCATTTAATTTGGTCGTGTGCTCGATATAATTGGCCGTGCCCAAGCAATTGGCCATCTGCCCAATGAATTGCGTCGTGTGCCCCACTTGGGCACATGACCAATTATATCGGGCACACAGCCAAATATATCGGGCATTCGTCCAACTTGTTAACTGCAAAATGGTGTAGTAGGGTCGGTACTAGTATACTGTACAGTACTACTATGTCCAACCACATAAACGTCGGTTGTACGTGTTGGTTACTACTACATACTTACTACTAGTATGTAGTACCTGGTGGGGTAGTACATAGTACGTTAGCATGTGTGATTGATTCCGTATGCGACACAGGATAATACGTTGGTACAGTAATGCACTTTCGATGTGGTAGTTTTATCTCTAAAGACTACAACCAAGCCGAGCTGGTGCAACTGGTCGAGTTGATACCTAGGTTGGTGGCTGAGATACCGTATACTATTGACAATGTGTCCCAGCTTCATGTTCCACAGCTGCGGTGGCCACTTGGGGTCTTGGTCAAGTACAATAAACTTCATTGGAATCTTCATATGGCAATAGATACGTTTAAACGTCTTCAACGCCAAGAGGTTGCGGTTGTTCCACTGGTCCTCCAATGGCTTCCACACAAACCCCAACTCGTCTAATGCATGTCGTCGCTTGTTGGACAATCTGTGGACACGCTTCCGAAGGGACTTGGCAACATAACCCAAAGGCAACCCCCAAAACCGCGATGGCCACCAGCCGCCTCCAGATGGCACGACACAATCTCGAAGGGCATTCACATGTCCATGCACTTGTTTGAAGGTCTCGAGCGCCGCCAAGTTCAATTGCCACTGCGCTTCGTTAGCATTCCACACAAACCCCATCGCATTCAACGCTTGGCGTCGCTGTGGCATCAGTTTGGCCTTGCGAGCGCGCAAGTTTTCCACGACCATCCCCAGCTTCTTCCCCCAAAAGTAGGTTGGCCATTGTGGATCTTCTTGCGGCACGACAAGTCAACTGGAATGAGCAAGTCTTGATACTGGGCTTTGTAAATACCCAGCGCTTCCATATTCAGGCTCCATTGGTGCTCTAACCCGTTCCATACAAAATGCATGGCGTCCAAGGCTTGTACAACTGATGGCTCCACATTGCCCTGTATGTTTGCCCGTCGGAACTTTGAAATGTTCAGTTTGACCTTATGCAAGTGTAGGGGCCACGGGGCTTGATCGGGGACTCTGAATTGACTAGGCAAGTACACAAACTTTGTATGGCGCTGCTGGGAACGTTGGACTTGGACCACTTGCAATATTTGCTGCTGTTCCTTGAGCGAAAAGTTGGCAGGTGGGCTATGGCCAACGCCTCGGGCATACACCAGCCATACAAACCCAAGCGAATTCAGCACATCGAGCCTGTGTGGGGGCAACGAAGTGGTGGTACTTCGCAACCTGGAGACCAATTTCCCAAGTTTGAGTCCCCACATCTCGACGGGCCATTGCGGGTCGTCTGCTGGCACGACAAGTTCCGAAGGCACGAAAGGTGGTCATGGATGGCCTTGAACGTTTCCAGTGCCGCCAGATTCGACTTCCAATGCAGTTCAGCAGCGTCCCAGACGAATCCCGTGCTGTCCAACCACTGCTTCTTCTCTGGGGGTAGTGTAGTCTTGTGCGCTCGAATTCGAGCCACTACAACACCCAGTTTCTTGGACCAGAGCTCCGTTGGCCATACCGGGTCATCCTTCGGGACGTTGAAATGGGATTGAACGAGCAAGTTGCCGTGGAGTTCCTTGTACTTGGTCAAGGCCAACTGGGTTTGGCTCCACTGGAACTGGTCCGCGTTCCACACAAACCCAATGGCGTCCAACGCGGCCACAATGTCAGGATCCAGTCGACCTTCACGCTTCTCCTTTCGTAGTTCAGACACTGGAAACCGAATGCCTTGCAGTGCCAGGGGGTACTTGTCGCTGCTGGGGATTCGAAACAGCGTCTTGATTGAGATGACCTTCGGTCGACCTGCCTCTTCGTGCACTGCTTGGACTACTTGGAGCAACTGTTTTTGCTTCTCAATCGAGTACAATGGCTTGATCATAGTCTTGGACGTGGTCGCTTCGGAGGACAACAGGGCAAGACTGGATGCCAGGAGCCATGACGTCGTGCGCAGGACCACTTGAATAAAGTAGTAGTATAGCTTAATTCATAATGCGAGCAGTGCTTTCCTCTCAATTGATGTATTGCCCGTATACTTCAACGATTCATCCAAAATTTGAGTCGTGCGCAGAGCTCACTTTTCGATTTACCTCAAGGTTCGCACCATCGATGGACGCGCGGAGGCCATAGGCAACATGGGCGTTGGTATGTATGTATGTCACGTCACAGCAACGATGCTGCATGTGTCGTTTAACGACCATATCTATATTGAATTGACTTTTTATTGCGTGATTTCCATTTTCATCGGGCACACGACACAATTCATCGGGCACATGGGCAATTGCTTGGGCACACGGCCAATTATATCGGGCACATCACCAAATATGTCCAAATATATCGGGCACTCGTCCAACTGGTAACTGCAAAAAGGTGTATAAATACTACCGGGTACTAATGTTAGTATTAATACTCCGGGGTATTAGTAATAGTTTACCACTGTGTTTTTGCACAGAAAAGAATTAGATTCGACAATCACAGGTACCCTTGGGTACACATATAAACACATACTACGTAGTATAAGCAAAGGCTTCGAATCTGGTTGGATTAGGTAACGTTACCTCAAGCATCAGAATTTTCGATTTCCGGTACGACCATTTTGAGCCTAAATACACTCTATTTAGGGCCTAAACGCCTAATTTTACGGGGATGAGTTTCTATATCCGGATAATATCAGTCACACAGTGGCACTTTGATTGTGTTGAACCACAGGGCCTTGTGACATCCGGATAATAATTGGCCAGTTTTGATTGGTGGATATCCTTTGTGTTCACCAATGAACGATAAGTTTGGTTTCAAATCCGGATACCGTTCACCTTGGGCGTTTGGCTGAAAAACCACAATCGTGAATCCGGTGTCGGCAACGAATCTTCTACCGCCGCCGCCGCCGCTCTCATGTCCACCCACAATGATGGCAAGGCTTCCCCGTCCACCCCGATGACTGCCCCTCCTTCCCACTCGACTGTGATCCACATGCCATCCAAATCGACGTACACACCTCTGCTAGAACGAAGCGACTCGACGGCATCGACTTCCCAAGTCAACCAACGCGTGCTCGTGTCTGCCGTCGCCAACTTTAGTACCGCGGTAAGCTTCCAAGTTCGAGTAGCTGGCATCTTAACGGCCGCGTAGTACAATCTGGCGATCATAGGAAGCGTCGTGCCCCTCGTCACCGAAACAAATCCGTCCTTGGACACATCCAGCATCCCCGCAATCACCGCCTGTTCGCTCGTCGGCGCGATTGTCGGCCAGCTCATCTTTGGGTACATCGGGGACGTTCTTGGACGCAAGAAGGTACATTCCACCCCTCCATGTCTTTTCCACGTCTCACGCATCCTCAGGGTATGATCCTCACGCTGCTGCTCACGGTGATCGGCGCGGTGGCGTCGGCGGTGCTGCCTTGGAGCTCGTCCATCTACTCGACCCTCGCCGTCTGTCGGTTCGTGCTGGGCATCGGCGTGGGCGGCGTGTACCCGTTGTCGGCCGCGGCGGCGGCGGAAGGCGGCACCGACCCCGTGCTCAACAACAAGCGCGTGGCGGCGGTGTTTAGCTTCCAGGGATGGGGTCAACTCGCGAGTTTCCTCATGTGCTACATGTTGCTGGAGACGTCGCTCAGCCATGAATGGACATGGCGGGTGCTCCTCGGGTTGGGTGCGCTGCCAGGAGTGTTTGTCTTGCACGAAGCGATCACGTCGGAAGAAACCAGTACGTTTTCGATATTTTCCGAAAAAAATAGATAAAATTTTCGATATTTTAACCGAATCCGTTCGTTGTAGAGGCCTTTTTGAAAAGCCAGCACAACCCGAATCGACTGAGTTTATCCGCGGCGATGCCCATCTATTGGAAGCAATTCGTCGGCACATCCGTGGGCTGGTTCCTCTTTGACATAACGTTCTACGGCAACATCTTATTTACGCCCATCATATTAAATGGCTTGTACGACGACGACGCCGCCATGAACATGGTGGATATTGCGCAGTTTTCTGTGTTTACGTCGCTGATTGCGTTGCCGGGGTACGTTTTTTTCTCTTGCAACGTCCACTATTTTCGACGTTTTTTCGAAAAAACGTCCTTTTTTCTCGACATATTCGAATATGTAAACCAGATGTGGTGTATATATGTAGGTACTACTTGTCTTACTTCATGATGGGCACGATGGACTTCAAGCACATTCAAATGCAGGGCTTCTTCGTGATGGCGATCCTGTTCTTGGCCATGGGGCTGTTTTATACAACGTTGCTGCCGCTCAAAACGCTCGTGTTCTTCATGTAATATGATAGTTACTCCATCCAAACATACACCAACATGTCGTCAAATTCTCGGTGTATGTATATATATATAGGTATGGACTTACGTTCTTCTTTTCGAATTTTGGACCGAATGTGAGCACGTTTTCGCTCCCAGCCGAACTATTTCCTTCCGACGTCCGAGTGCAATTCAATGGCATGTCGGCAGCGGCGGGCAAATTGGGTATATATTTTGCAGCTTGTTATCAATGTAAAGAAAGGTACCTAACTTGTAGTGCCACTGGTGTATAGGTGCAGCCGTGGGAGCGTACTGGTATGGATACATTCAACAATCGTCGGGGGTGGCGATGGTGCTGATTGTATCGGGCCTCGTGTCAGTGTTGGGTCTAGCTGTGACGTACTTTTTGATCCCATCCAAACATTATCGATAGTCGTGATACAAAGCATTGTATACACGAAACTGGAGCACCGCCTAAGCCAATCAAATCACGTTCTGCTGAGTTTCAGCCAATCCGAACGTTTGACCCGTCCGCATGGGGCAAAACCATATATATACTAATCTTTGTATTGTATAGTGTATAACAAGATTAAATTGGATTATCAAATGGATTCGAATGTTATTTGGCGAAATGACACTCAGTCCAAATTTGGGGGAAATGCACAATATGAGATGTCATCAATAGAATTTGAGGCGTTTCGTATTCGACCAATGAAAATTTCAACCAATCAGATTAGCGATTGGCTCGGCTTTCGGATACACTTCCCGTACATTCGTTTATTCGGACCACAATTGTATACCGCTTACGTGGGGCGCTATTTCGTTGCCATAGTTAAATATTTAGAAGTAAATATGCAGCACTTTTCAGAATTGAAATCCCGGTCCTGAGAGACACTCTCAGCTGCATTCTACGGGAGGTCTTGGCCATCTACGTTAACGTAAGTATGCATTTGTAAATCTGAGTTTTAAAGGTTTAACGTGGCAAAATTCAAGTTTACATGCTGTTATTGATAGTATTGTCAAATTTCCCAATCGTCACAAACCGCGCCGAGACATCTCATTGGCTAATTAATTTCCACTTTGCCCTTTCGATAGAAAATCAAACGGATTGTAGTCAATCAGCGACAAGCGTTTTCGTATTGACCAATGGGAGAGATATGGTCCTGTGCTCGGTCCAGCGAGACTGGATGAAAGGGGTCCGGAAATTCATACCGAAACTCCAAAACAATTTAACGTGAATGACGTCGTAGTTTTTAGCCATAGTAAAGGATTGACATAACATTTTGCATAACCCACCTAGTACTGTACAGTACAGTACTACTGTACGAGTAGTAGACAGTAAATACTGTTCGATGGATAAAAGCATTTCATTCCGTCCAACGTGGAACACTGTACCACACTCTACGAGTCGTACTGTACCTAACTAACCTCCAGAAAACCAGATGGACTGTACCGAGGCAAGAATAGGTACGTATTATAGCACCAAGACTGCAAATTTTACTGCTAATTAGCCAATTCACGATAGGATTGCGCAGGTCTTATTAGTACAAGTGGATTGTCGTACGATCAATGCTGATGTAGCAAGCAACCTCTGCAATGTACGCCGCCGCCTCTCCCATCCCACTAGCGAACGCATTTGTTATCGGTGGCTGGTTTTCCCTCGATGCCATTGGCGGATCCCTAGCGTCCTGAAATATGATTGGCTCGCGTATCCGGATACCTGTCGAATGTCACATTACTGCACCCTCTCTTGATGCATTTATTATCCTAGCGTTTGTATGGGTATAGTCGAACGAATGTATTTGATTCCACGACTCAAGAAAAAGGTTGCATGCAAATTATTCACTGTTTGTCTCGCAAGTCGAATGTACTTCGGGCATGCAGCATCCACAACCCCGCGGCAAAGACCGCTGCCGCCATCCTCATCCGACATGAAGGATCATGCAGGTTTCCTGCCTTCGTATGCGCCGCACGAAATGACCGAGAGTCCATCGCCGTCCCCGGCGTCGCAGCACGCGCGATCGTCGTCGCTGTCCATGGACGATCCCACGGTCCAGAAGTCTCTCTTCGACATGTTCAACAAGCGAGGGTACAACCTCATCTCGCCGTCCAAATCGATGGTGAACGGCAACAACGACAGCTTCTCCAGCACCGCGTCGTCGTCCATGTCGAGTGTGATCGGGTTCCGCGAACCCTTGCATGGGCAGACTCCGATCCACATTGCGATCCGTCGGGGAGACGTCCATGTGGTCGAAGCACTGCTGAAGAGCGGAGACGCGGACGTGCTCCAAATGCGCGACGACCACGGCAACACCCCGCTGCACTTTGCTGTCGGCACATCGTCGAGACGCATGTCCGTGTCCATCGCGACGCGGATGGTAGCGTTGCTCCTGGACGCCGGCGCGAGTGTGCATGCTGTCAACCACAAGGGCCTCAGTCCCATCATGGTGCATCTTCTCACGGTCCGGAAGGACGACCCGAGCATCCTCACCATGCTGCTCAAGCATGGCAGCAACGCGAACGCATGTGTGGACAGGGTGCCGCTGCTGCACTTGGCCGTAGCCGCCAAGTTGCCCATGTTCACGGCGACATTGATCCGCCACGGCGCACATCTGCATGCGACCAACGACCTCGGGCAGTTCCTTCGGGAAGTCGCGCCCATGAACATGCTCGTAACCATGTTGGCGCACTTGACGTCGGCGCCGTCATTCCTTCCCCTGGACGCGCATAGCCAATGCATGGACTGCCGCCGCCACATCAAGCCCGCCAAGCGCCAGAATTTGCCCATCTTGTTTCGATGGTTCTTTTTCCGATCTACCAGTACCCAAGCTACGCACTGCTTTCACTGCGGATGGATCTACTGCAGCTCCTGCACAACCATTCAACCAGTTCGCGACGGCCTTCCATCTAGTTGCCGCCGATCCGAAGCTGAGGAAGAGGAGGATAGGCTCAGTCGGCCATTAAGCAAGCGATTACCCTTGTCCAGAAGACCTCCCGCCGACATGAAGAAGGATGTGAGCATTCGCGTATGCCGAATATGTGCCAACTTGCTCAAGGAACGACTGGTCAAAGCTGCCTCTGCTGGGGCTAGAGCCAGTTTATATCGATTTCAACAGCAGCAGCTGCCTTCAGCTTCAACAACATCAGCATCAGCTTCGTTGCACCATACCCCTCGTTGATTTTCAACCAAGAACAGACTCACGATAGTACTACTAGACATCCTACAGATACACATGAATAATATGTACACGCCACCATGACCGATATTAATTAGTACTTACTAGTTTGTACATAATTAATAGTTTGTACCAGTACACAATATATATATATATATATATATCCACTGTGGTGTGAAGTTGAGATTTGAAGTATTATTAATACTACAGTAGTCGTACTTTTGTACAAAATACTAACGTGGCCAGCCAGTGATTTTATTCTTTTGTAAATTCGTCAAGTATTTATCCTAACGTTATACCGGTAGCGATTTGGTGGACGGAACCTAAAAGAGCTCGTCAAGATATGCCACATACAAATGTACACCAACCAGTTCATGATGACATTAATAATTTCGCAAGTCATTGCAGTCCAGTAATGTGCCGAATTTTATACTTGAAATATATATACTACATAGTATAATAGATTGCAGTAGGGTTGTGTGAAAAACAGGCAAGCAGACTGCAATTTATAAAATGATAAAGAAATATTATTGTGGATTCGATACGAATTTCCCGGCCAGTGGCTAATCCAATTTTGTGTGGCTTTGATTGGCTCTTTCAAAAAGAACAAGTATATTCAACCAATCAAACGTCCAGCGTGAGTCAATTTTTTGATACGCGAATTTTGGAAATTTATAGCGAATTCACAATATTTTTACTATTTTTAATTTTGGCGAGCAGTGGCATTTGAGTGGCTACAATGACATTGCACTTTGCGCTTGTGGCTAATCAGCAAGCGCAAGTGATTTCAGTGTGGCCAATGAAATGGGATTACATACGGTAGCCAATCAGCGACAAATGATTTCAGATTGGCCAATGGGAAATCTTTACATCCTGTTGAAGTAAGTCTCTCAAAAATATGCGTCGATTGGATTCATGATATATTAATACAGTACCAAGTCAAAGTCTCGTCAAGGTGTCGTATGTATGTTTATATATATATATGTATAAATATATATATATATATATATATATATATGCGTTGAACAAGTCTCTCAACACACCATCCTAGACAGCAAAACTCTAGTTTTCCATTTTTCGTGGTGGCATTCATCGGATGTGTATTGTTTTTTAATTATGTCGTGGGAAAATCACCTTATCCGACACATTTGGCTCTTGATTTAGACGTTGATTACACGCGCGAGCTTTTGAATGCGGTTCAGAAGCGCGTCGCCTTGCTTGACCGTGTCCTGGTACTGGGCGTTCTTGGCGTCTGGGCGATTGGTTTCAATCACACCCGCCACCTACATATATATATAAATATATCTCATATATAAAACAACCAAAACAACACCTATTTCGATATATATATATACATCGGTATATATCAATACACACAGTAAGAGACAAAGGCAATCGTAGTCGATACTATTTTATATCCCATAGAATCATTGAATTCGAAGTATATATATATATATATATATTACCTTGTCAATCTTGGCGTTCAATCGACCTGCCGAAATAAACCGGCTTAATTCCGTGTCGAGAAACACAACGCCAACGCCGAATGCTGTCGCCATCGATTGCAACGTAACACTACGTTAAGAATCAATATATATATATATATATAATTCAAGGATACATCAATATATATATATATATATATATATATATATATATATATATTCAATGTATAATGGGTGTTATTACCTGCGGTACGCTTCGAGGAATTGCGCGTACGCCAAGATGCGCAATTCACGGTAGATGTACCGGGAATGCAACGCCAGATACTTGTCGCGATTCACATGGGCGTGCAATCCGACTAAAAAAGTCGAAAAAAACGTGAAAAACAAACGAATAATCCTAGAATGTCGACGAAAACCACGAAATAGTACCAATGGCCGTGAAAAATTGCTTGTAGTTGCAGTCGTAGAGTCCGTTCAAAAAGTCGCTCAAGTGGGGAATGTCCCGCAAGACCGCCAAGACTTCGGAGGAATCCACAATCTATATTTCAACAGATTATAAAAATATTAATAAATATATATTTACCTTTTTCTTCAATTCGACGCGGGAAGTGCTCAGGACGGACGTAATGACCGCATAAAAGATCATCGTGGGATACGACATCAGCTCCGTGCTTGTAAAGGTTGCCACTGAGTCCTACCTCAAATTCCACGTGAAATATCAACTTATATTTCCGTTTTCGATGCAAAATAGGTAAATATTTTATCAGAAAATAATATATCTTCATTGAGCAAAAAGGAAGAAATCGAAAGTCGTTTGCAGGTTGAAATAATCAGGTCAACAAATATTGTGGTATATTCGATACAAATTTCCAGACCCCGTCGAATAATCGAATCATGAATCGACGCTATTGGCTAATATCCAATTTTGAGTGGATTTGATTGGCTCTTACAGAAAGCACAGATATATTCAACCAATCACAACTCCAGAGTGATGCAATATTGATTGATATTGGACAAACCACGCGAATATTGGACATATATGTGCACCAAACACCTGAAAAAGGAACAGAAAACAGCGCAACATGGCAACCAGAAGAGCTACAGTACCTGGAAGAGGGAAGAAGCCTTCTTAAAGTCGCGAGCCATGAGAAGGTAGCATCCTTCGTACACCTTGAGGCGGTTGCGTCGGTCCCAGTCGCCGCCTTCGTCGATGAGGACGCGCGCCTTCTTGATGTGCGTCTCCACGAGAGGCAGGTCGGAGAAGAACAGACCCACGCGGATGATGTGCAGCTGGATGATGATCTTCTGGTTCACGGACGTCGGCTTGGCGAGCGCGGTGTGGAACGCCTCGAGAACCTTGTCCTTGTCCCCAATCAACGAGTACAGCCGCGCGCGACCGAGATGCGCCTCCAACACCTCAATGTCCCCCAAGTTCGCCTCCGCATCCGCTAGCTGCGCGTCCAACTTGGTCAATTCGTCCTCATTGTGCTGTCTATACACACACCAGGTACATGAGAAAAGACAAGGAGATGCAACGTCTGTTGGGGTGGGTGGAAGTACTTCATGGTCGCGAGAAGCGCGGTTTCCACGGGCCAGTGGAACTCGGCGGCAACACGCTCGTAGAACGGCGCCATGTGATGTTCCGCGATCAACCCGAGCAGTTTGGTCTTGGCCGCGGCCACTTCTGCGTCCGCTAACGCAGCATGGCTGGTGGTCGCCACTTGCAGCAGGAAGTACAAGTGCGAGACTTCCATGTGGGGGAAGGTGCTGATATCCTCTTCCAACTGCTCCGAGATGTGTCCCGACGTCGGCTTCTTCTTCGTCGCTTCTTCAGGGGCGCCCATGCTGATGCTTGCTTCCTTTTGTCGTAGGATCCTCCCAAAATGAGAGAGCATTTGGGGTGCAAAAGGAACCTCCATCAATGAATACGTACGTACGTCACTGGTATTGGATGTACGAGGTATTTCCGGATACGGATAAAGTTCGGAGAAAACGCCTCGATACAGTATTAATATACAGTATTAATATACAGAGCACAATATTGCTTTCAAAATACAAATCGATTATTGCGATATTTCAGGTATTTCTTGGCACTACAAAATGCAGCTGTATTTATATTTTCCAACGCTACCCTTAGTTTTTTTTATTCGAGGGACATTTTGTGGTGGAGTGCTTCAAACATTTGACATTTTAGGCCGAATCTGGATGCCACAGAAATGATAATGTCAAATAATATTCTGACCGAGAATTCCCTTTTCAAATGGGAGGTGAGAAAATATTTTCGAAATGGTTTGATGTCACCTCTGGATGCCATCATGGAATGAGAACTACGATGGAATATCATGTTGGTAAACAATCAACAATTGCAGTTGAAATTTTCTTCTGTCAGAAAACAGTTTAAATTCGAATTATTATGTCACTTTATATATGTCAGATTTGGTAGCCAAACACACAAAAGCTGTCGTTTGAAAAATTGTCATAATATTTCTGAAAAGTTGCAGAACGAGGTGCTTTCTGACACTTTTTTGTGGCAGAGTGGCCCTTAGTGCACAAAAAGTGTTCGCGGTATTGATGGTTTAGCTTAGTATTATATATATAATCTAGTTTGAGTGTGTTTTGAAATACTGGTATCACTTACAAAGGTCAAATTATAACGTAACGTTAATGAATTGGTGAAACTCTTTTGGCTTTGTATTTCGCGAACAGTCGTACTTCGAAGTAATATCTTAGTTTGTATGTATAGAATATTGATTTACAAAATATTATATCTGGGTGTCATGACGCATTTTTATTTATACATGAACTCAATTCTACATTAAATTTGAATGCATTATAATAAGATACAAGTTGAAATTTGTATTGGACAACATAAAAATGAACATAGTTTTGAATTTCAAGGTGGTTTCCTGATCCTTTGGCTGAATATAATCATATCCATTGAAAACTCCTCATTACAGAATGAAGCCATTGGATTGGATATAATGATACAGTTCGCGATATTGATGAATTACCTTAGTATAAATTAAGTGATAATGGTTTAGGCCGAGTCTGGATACCACAGAAAATTTGATGTCAGATAATATTCTGACAGAGAATTCCCTTTTCAAATGGGAGGTGAGAAAATATTTTCGAAATGTTTTGATGTGACCTCTGGATGCCATGATGGAATGACAACTATCGATAGAATGTCAAGTTTATACAAAATGGGTCCCCCGTTGCAAATCAAACACTTTTCTGTCAGAAAACAGTAAAAATTCGACGTATCATGTCACTTTATATATGTCAGATTTGGTAGCCAAACACACAAAAGAAGTCGTATGAAAAATTGTCATCATATTTCTGAAAAGTTGCAAAAAGAGGAGTTTTTTGTGGCCGCCGAGTGGCCCTAATTCGCCAAAATTTACGATGACTCGGTGAATGCAGCGTGGCTCTACGCGTATGTAAGACCTGAAGAGAGATGCGGTATCGGCTTAAATACAAGACCTCTAGACACTGTCCTTTACCCAAAACTTCTTTGGACTTATGAGCAGATTCGCCAAATGTATCGATCATTCTTTGTACTAACTTACGTAAAAACTTGTCCTGTGGTGATCATAATCACACTAATTTGGGTCCAACACTAATAAGATCCGTGTGATCCAATGCAATGTGCTTGGCTAAATACTTCTGCTGACATTTGTTTGTGTCTATTCATTCTCCATGTCCCCCCAGCTAAGATAAACACAACCATATATTATGCATTCGATTCGAAGTTGGAGTGGGTAGTCCAATCAGCCCAAGCGCAGACAATCGACTAGCCAATGAAATTTCTTCATTCCCAAATCCCAACCAATGATAGTCCGGCTCATTTGTCCCAGTTGAACTCAATATTCGTATGGTTTACAATTGTGCTTTGAGTCGATTTCTCAAATAAACTGCCCAGTCCAAATTTGGGTAAAAAAGGACAATATATGTACAAGTATTTGTACTAACGTTAGCCGCGAAATGCACCTTGAAATGGCCCGTATAGGGGACTACCGGTATACCGGTAGAGGCTGGCATACATCACTGGATGGGATGCGACAGAAGACCACCAAGACCCTTGGCGAAAGCCTGGAGTTTGCAAGTAGTTCCTAGCAGTGTACCAGTATAAAATAGTATTGGACGTTTAGTGTATACAAAATGGGCACATCTAAATAGTGTGTGACTGGCTTCACGTGTAAATCTCGATGTGGCGAGCGCGGCAGGTTCAGCTAGGCATTCCAAGAGGTGATCCCAATTTTGTTGTTGAGTTATGATACCTCAAATTTTGCGAGTTATCCCTAAAACTGTGGGGAGTTGATAACGCAGAGGGAATTGTAAACTGATTGATTGGCGTTATCTACATGCATGACTTCTCTGACTATACTATATCTAATACCAGTACTATACATACGTGCGCTCTGCAGAAGGAACTTCTGGTGTCCATGGCCGAGCACGCCGCACGCCAATCGAGCTTGGTCGTAAACTGACGTCAAGATTGACGTCTGTTCTCATAGGTCGATAACCCTATGACGCCACTGGAGTGACGTCGCTACAAAAACCCTGACCATGACCACCAGTAGTTTCCTCTGTTCAATATGATAAGTACTTACCTCGAACGTTCTACGAGCATACATATACGACCTTAACATACCTTCTAAGCCCATCGGCGAGCATAATAGTGCCCCTGTTGCTTCCCCACAGCCCCGGAACAGCCAAACGCACCTGAAATTGGAGGACCGTCATGAAGTCTACAAAATGCTCCTAAGCTCTTCCGCGGGTGATGAGCTCCCTCGTAGAGTGATTATCAAGGCCGCACAACAGATTGGTTGTCATGTACGGACGTCTGTCGCCTTTGTGCACGACTCTCACTTCGCGGCGGTGGTCATACCGCTGATGCCACTATCAATTTGTGCGGTAAAATTCTACTGGTACAGTAGTACAACGGAATAGTTGTATTATCAATAATTGTACCATTAACAATTTTGTAAAACAATATTGAAGGTATACGAAATTGGAAAATACTGGCCGTAAACCAAAGCGAACAATCAGTGCATTATATGTCTCGACAGACATTTCGGCTGCGTGTAGAATACCCATGGCGCATGAAAACCACACCAAGATTTAAGTCAAAATCCAGGTACACCAAGCCCTTCCTGATGCCAGACAACATCCAAGCTCGTTTAACGTATACATTCCCTTCGTTCGACCTTTGCCAAGTGGACGCCACAGCTTCTCCGACATGCACGAATATGTGCATATCGATGAAAAGTGGTTCTAAATGACATAGGCCAAGCGAAGGTACTATACTGTATAATAGACGAGGAAGTGGCCGCGAGAACCGTGAAGTCGAAGCATTTCATCACGAACGTGATGATTCTTGCTGCTGTCAACCGCCTGCGTTATGACCGTTGCACGAAAAGAGTACCGGTATGGGACGGCAAGGTTGGCTACAGGCCATTTGTACAAGTGTCACCTACCGCACGGTCAAACAAGAGCCAACCTTGAAGAACTTCCCCAGGGCGTATACCAGTACAGTCTACGAAAACTGTAGCCGCACCCCAAAATTTTCAAGTTGACACTTTTGTTTTTACTATGTCCATTACAGAAGCCGATAGTATCATTCGACGCATTCTAAACTTTGATTATATTTTGTTGTTACCTTTTATATTATTTGAAGGTCGCTCTACTTATAGCGTAATGATAAAACGTGTATTTTCGTTGGTGCAAAACAATAGCTGCACTTGCGTGCTTCTTTCATACTTCACGTCCTGTATGTAATAATGCTCTGTTTTAGCCGTAAAGTAGGTTAAAATGACGGCGACGTACATGTACTGCAGATGAAATACATATCTTTCAACCACCCATTCACTAACAAATTATGCCAAGTGAAAACAAACATACCCCAAAAGAGATGATCCAAGCCTACAAGTCACTTGGAAAGTCCAATCAGTATATTGCCCAGGCCTTGCGAAGGAACGAAAACGCCACAAGTAACCTATGGAAGCAACAACTTCAACCCAATTCAAAGAAACGGCTGGGGCGTTGCCAACTTTTCAAGTGGCGCGACATCCGGCGCAACTTCCGTCTTGCAATCCACAAGCAATAAACCTAGTGGAAGTATGGCAAACAAAACTCCATCAAGTAATGTGAGATATTGGTCGCGTACCTGTTGCCCTCTCTGACGACAGTTCGAGAAAAGAACGTTGGCAAACCTGTCGTGTACCATCAAGACAATGATGCGTCCATCCACGTTTGAATACACATCATGGCCTTTCTGCAAGCCGCAGACGTCCCTACAGTGGGTTGGTGAGCTCGGAACCCGATTTGAACTCAATTGAAAATGTCTGGGGTGTTTTGGCTCGCGCTGGTTTTGAAAATGGACGCCAGTTCGACACCATGGAGGCGTCAAGTTCAAACAATACAATACTATTAATAGTATAATTTTGACATAAATATGTTGTTTGGGAGTTGCATACAAATATTAAGTTGTTTGGAGTGATGTCCTGTACTTAACTCTTAAATCAAATGAAAAAGACCAGGACAAATGTAGTATTAGTACCTAACCAATGTTCTGGATCAGAGTAGTAGTAGTTAGTACACATGTGTACAGTACTGCCATACGCAGTATTTATACTGCGCACTGTAGTAGCGAAAGTAACAGGGTCCGAATTAATATTTAAACCGACCTTTTGCTAACTATTACTAGTACTACGTAATACATTCAGACAGTATGCCTTCGGATCAAAATAAATGCTCTGAAGCCTTCAAAGAGAATCGAACGTCCATACAAACGTACACTGTATGTGACGCGATTCCGCTTAGAAATCATCAACAATACTTCGGAGTATAAGAAGTATGAAATTAAGTAGCGCAGAAAAGTCCCGATTATGTCCGTTGATACTGTATGCAAATCACTTCGAAAAGTCCTGATTACTGGTATGTCCGTAGGTATGCAAATCGTCACAAACCCAAGGTATACTCGTTGAATGTACATACTGTACACTCCTTGGTCAGCTTTTACTCCATGATACTAGTACATACTACAGTACTGGTAGTACAAAATTTGGTTCAGCTCTATCCTTCAATAACGTTGTACGACTACAGTAAGCTATTAATAGTGTTTGAATTACTCAACAATATCCTTCAACGACGTTTGGTACAAGGCAAACCAAGTTTACCCAGTACTGTTAGTTTTCATTTCTTCGTGGAATAGTATCTGAACTTGAGCGGAACTCGGAGCGAACAACATTCCAACCACATATACTTCGAAGTATATTGTAATGCCGGGCCATTTCTCGATACAGATTCAGGCGACGAAAATGGCCATGGTTGTGATTGGGTGGGTTGCTTTGGGTAAGACCTTATATAAACCAGCTCGATTGACATCCAGTGCTTCTACACCTACAACCCCCCGGCTGTGTCTACGGTTGACGCACCATGTGTGCTAGCCCAAGCCAATACACTATATGTACTCTATCGATGCTACAGTAGTTACACGCAATGTGAACATGTTTGAATTCGTGTTGAAGTTGCGTTCGTTGCGAGATTCGCTGGAGCTGAGACACTGAAATGCCCCCCGATCGTTCTCAGAAGTCTCGCATCCCACGCTACAGTACGTATCAAAGCAACAGTCTGCAATGTCGTCCAATTGTACAGTATTTCCTGTAGCTGTTCCAATGTACTAGTACGCGTTCATCACTACTAACGTTACCAAGGACTTCGCTAGCTCGTGACTGCCGCGCAAATACTACTAGTACGAAACTAGTAGCACTCGTATACTAATATAGTAACGTTAGTAAACTTTGCACGTCGACACAACCGTAACCCGTTGTACTGTACTTCTACGTACCATATTCGTATACAAATGGGTGTGTAACCAGGATACATACCTGCGCCCGTCTGTTTTCAAACTGGGCCTTCCGCGCCTCAGGTTCTTTCAACACTGACGTCAGTCATCGCATTATCCGATTTGCTCGGTACATCTCACATACACAGATCGTTCGTTACAGTAGCCATCCATGCCAGCCATTGTCGCGCCACTCGTGAAAGCTGCCGCCGAGCTCGTGATGAAGCGACGCCGGGCGTCCATTGGATTTTCCAGGAGATTCTTATATGCAGGCTGGTACAAATGGGCGTACTTGGACTCGAAAGCCCGTCCAAATACATCGACCGAATCCGAACTTCACCAACCCACGGTGGTGCTCGTGCACGGGTTCTCGTCCGACAAGGACGCATGGCTACCCATTGCCAAGTACTTAATCCACCAAGGGTATCGCGTAGTTATGCCCGATCTACCGGGCCACGGCGCCACTACCCCCGTCTGTTCAAGCCACAACTACGGCGCCGACGCACAAGTGGCCAATTTGCTCTCGTTTCTGTCGGCGCTTCAAGCAGCAACTCGCCCCCCGTTGCGTAGCAACAGAGCAACGCCAACTCCTATACACCTCGTGGGGTACTCGATGGGGGGGCTCATTGCAGGGCTGTTTGCAGCCACATTCCCCCGCTTAGTGCGCACGCTCACTCTACTCTGCCCCGCCGGCATCTCCATGCCCACCCCCAGCCCCGTCGTTGCACTCTTCGATGACACTGGTCTCCGCCTCATGGAAGCGTCCACCGTCAAACACATGGACGACTTGCTTCGGTATGCGCAAGGTCCGACGACGACCAAACTCAAACGACAAAACTCCCGCGTCGTTGTGCACATGTATGCCAAGATCCAAGCTGCGCGAAGGGACGTCGTGTCCAAGATCTTTGACGATCTCGAGCCGGAGCGGTCGACGCTGGAAGACCAGCTGCATCGCATCGAAGCGGACACGCTGGTGCTGTGGGGTGCCCAAGATCAGATCCTGGACGTCAGTTGTGCGCACCAGGTGCGGAGCAAGGGCTTCCGGACGATCGTCGTTGAAGGATGCGGCCACGACATCACCCAAGTAAGGCCGCAGTTGTGTGCGACGCACATTAACCGGATGATCAGTCGAGACATCCGGAGAAGTACTACTCGAGGGGTCGACCTGTCACAGAGCGCTTGCACGTCGTACAGCACGACCATGGACTCGGCGTCAACCCTCGATGCCGACTTCATGGAAGTGTCTCCTTGGGATTACTAGGATTATAACGTTAATTTACATATATTTACTACTAGTACTATTTTTAATAGTAATACCCCTGTCCTGAAGTACTATAATAGTAGTAGTACTTTATTCAAATTGTGGATTTGGCGCCGAATCGAATCACGAATCGACGCTCTTGGCTCATCCAATTTTGAATGGATCGGATTGGCTATTACCGAAAGGATAATCATATTCAGCCAATTACAAATTCCAGAGTGATTTGAAAACCAGGTGTATTGTGGTACTTTATCAGTTATTACTACGTAGTACTCCCGAGTACTACGTAGTAATAACTGATAATACTACTTCGAAGTATTTAGTACTGGTATAGTATTATTCTGTTTATAGTAGTACTAGCCCAGTACTACTACTGTGTTATACTGTACGTGGACAAGAACTATTAACACGTACTTCCTCTGTTTCATATTAATTCCATCATATGGAGTCCCAGCGACCCCAAAAATTCATTTTCGTCCAAACTTAATACCCAATATCACAACAAAAAGAGAATCAAAAACTGGAGGTATCGTCTATTCGCCACGAAACACCAAAAGTGGAAATGGGTGGTCATAATCGACATCATCCTAGCTCCACCAGATCAATTAAAATAAATAATTTATTTATTAAAAGAAATCCTGGTCCTGTGACCACATTT